TAGCTTAATTACTATTTTTCTGCTCAACCAATCATGCATGTTTGTGAGATGTAACGATGACCAAGTTACGGTACACGAATACATCCATCCAAATCGAATCATTAAATTAAGCTCTCCTCGTCAGGCTTCTTATATCACATGGTCCAAAATGTCATATAATCATACCCTCAAGATCAGATGAAATTTTCATATTTAGAAGGTATCATTCAAATTGAGAGTACACCAACTTGTACTAATGTCTAAAATGAGAACCTTAGTAAATTAATTTACAGGCTTTTGTTCTAAGAAATTCCATATCATGTCCTTCTACACAGAAGATACAGAGAATGAGCGAAGGTTGGTCATCTTTTCAACCGATGAGCATAAGGTGAACCCATCTTCTGTTCTCAACTTGAAGATGCCCAACCTCCTATCAGTTGATTCATTCTGCCAAGCTCCGCCATTAAAATACCATTGTCTTGATTTGCCTCAATAAAACACAGCTTTTGGAGTGACTGCAAGCCACATATTCCTGCAGGAACCTTAACTCCATATCTGGAATTAAATTGCGCATAAGACTCAACTTCATACCTATACACCAGGAGATGGTGAAGACGCTTGAGATTCAAAATTTCTGGAGGCAACTCAACGACACGAGAAGGTTTAAGATCCAAGGTCTCTAGGTTTTGAAGCTTCGTGATGGAGCTCGGACTTTTTTTACCTTGGTATCCCTCAAAATAAGATACCTGAGAAGAAGGTTGACGACCTCTATTGGAAACATGTCTAGATGTGGACCTTGCAAGTCTAATACAATAAGCAGTGGAAGACCTTTAGGGTATGTTTGTTTGCCTTCACTAGCATTCCTTGGATTGGACTAGACTAAATGATAGTCCAGTCTGGTGTTTGTTATTTATACGGACAAGAGTTAATGAGACTAAAGGGGACTCGCCCCGACTGAACGCCTCGCTAGCCGTTCTTAGCGAGAGCCCTCGATTTCAAGCGAACTCCTAGTCCCGTCCTCTCTCGCAGCTGATCCATCCGTCTTCTTCTCCTTCACACCTTCGCCATCTCCCATCTCCTTCACGACTTCGCCGTTTCATCCGAGTTTGAGTAGGACGAGGAGGTTCTCAGTGACGACGGAGAGGCCTCCCTTGACCTCAAACTCTTCGTGGGTAACCTTCCCTTCAACGTCGATAACGCTCAGCTCGCTGGTATCTTCGAGAGTGCTGGAAATGTCCAGATAGTCAAGGTAATTCCTTGTTTTCACTTGAAATTTTGTAAATTTTATTTGAAATTTGGGTGAAAAGTGAAATCGGTTATTGTTGGTTTAGTGTGTTGTGGGTTAAATTTGGAGGGTTTTTAGCAGGTGATATATGATAAAACAACCGGAAGAAGCAGAGGATTTGGGTTTGTGACTATGTCAAGTGTTCAAGAAGGTAAATATGCTACTCGACAGCTAAACGGCTATGTAAGTCTTCATATTTAAGTTTGACCATTTGTTGATATTTTCTTATATATGCGAAAGTTTGTGATTTGCAAATTGGTACTTTATTTGTAATCATATTTATTAACATTCATTTATTGAAACTTGCTTGAGATTTGTCTTACTGAAGAAATGTTTGATAGAGCCTAGTCTCTGGCCTTTCGTAGTGTGTATTTTTTTACGGTTGCGATTACTTATTACCATGTTGATTGTTTTGAGTTGAAGTCATTGGTTATAGGTCAAGTTGAGAACCCTGTTTGTTGTATATAACTATGTTAGCAAGAGTTTCATGGCATTATCGTGAAAACAATTTTATTGATTGACGTTTGAAACTTGGTCGATGTTTATTTCATTCTGAAAAGGTTGTTTTGTTTTGTAGCTTTGTGTTGCATTTCTTGATGTTGGTTTTTTAGTGTAGTGATTGGTTGAGTTTCGTATTTATTTTGCTAAGTCTTGCCGTCATTTGGTTGTATTGCATCCATGAGAACCCTGTAAATTGTATCTAAGCAAGGCTTATATCGTATATAAGAAATACTTCATTGCATTTGGCAGGAACTTGATAGCAGGGCATTGAGGGTAAACTATAGACCTCCTCCTCCCCAGACTGAGGATTCCTCTTTCTCTGGCTTTTCATATTTGGTTGTGTTCATGCATTGCTTGATTCCATTTATTTGAATGTGCTGAGTTTTCAGGTTTTCGCATATAATCATGTTCTAGATGCTATGGTACAGAAACATTATTGAGATTTTTGAAATAAACAAATGTGCTTCCATATCAATTTGTTATGGATATAAAAGTTTCACTTGATTTCTAAGAGCACCGTATTTGAGATGTTCCAAATTTGTTCTCTGATTAATATACTTAGCTATGGTGTGTGAAACATATCCACCAACTACAGTTTGCAGCAGTGTTGAGACTTTAAGGTTGAGGTAGTTGCGGATTATCTGCATTTTATCCATTTTTAATCAATTTATGTTCTGTTTACTACACGATGCTTACAACATGCAGTCTTTTGATCTGAGTATTTGACATCATGGTTAATCTTTCTCAGTCTAAGCTTCCACCTGGGGTGGAGTCTGCCCTACTACAAGAAGTTTTGAGCCTAACACCGGAAAAACTAAGTTCATTGTCTCCGCAACAACAACAAGAAGTAATAAAGCTCCAAAAGATGCTTCGGTAAGATTAGATTCAGCCATCGTAGCAGAGTCATAAATGGCAGTTTTGATGCAACAAGTTGTTACATGTGGATGCACCAACTTGCTTGCTAGAGCAACAAAAGGCGTGGTATTGATTCAATCGATTTTGATTGTTTGTAACAGTATGTTCATGTAAGGTGTCGATTTAGAGGATGTGCAGTGCAGGAGTACTATTGTATTTGTGTAGCCTACACAAGCTTGTGTTTTAGTCTAGTCAGTAAATTAGTTAGAATAGCAAAATTTTGTCTGTATCACAACATTTAAATTTACATTCCCTCAGCTAAAACTTTTTGCTTCACTTTTGCTCCAAATGTTGTGTACTTTGCTCGAGGTATATTCATGATCTCTTGCTTTTGCATATTGTTATTGGTTTTCTTCAAACTAGTTGGAGCAAGCAATTTACATGCTCGAATCCAAATGTAGCAATGATCAAGGCTCGGCTATCCATTTGCCATTGCGCCTCACGCATCATTGTGGTCTTGGGATTGAATGCAATCAAACCAAAGGTGAATAATTAAGAAAAGCATTCTAAACCTTGTCAATTGTTAGGAAAACACCTTTGTTATATTGATGTTTGGAGCAATACTACTCTTGAATCATGTATGCTTCTTTCGTTGGCAAGAAATTTGGTTTTTGTATTTTTTTATTGAGTCATACTCTCATCTAATATTATTAATTTTGATAATATCTTTAAATAAAAATAAATTAAATTAGAATAATAATTTAGTCTCAGTTTGAGCAAACACCAAATTGGTGACAATACTATTTTCATTATCCTGCTTCTTAGTCTGACACTGCACCAAACGCTTCACTAAGCTTGTCCAGCTTAGTTAGTCTAAGCCAGTCCAGCTTAGTCCCTGAACCTAGTTCAGTACGAGATAGTCCGGTGCAACAAACGCACCCTTAAGAAACAATTTTGGTATCGAAAACTCAGTAAGCGAATGTTCTGTTGGAATTTATTAGGTTTATTTAGGAAATTAATTAGAGATTTGATTTGATTTTATAGTAGGGTATTTTTGGCATTTACGCATTAGGGTTTTTTAGATTTATTGCTCTATAAATAGAGCTTGTAATTTAGTTTGAGAACAAGTTAGTCACAATGCAGCCTTTAGGGTTTTGTAGCTGTTTCGGCATTCTCATTTGTTTAATAATATTATTATTTTGTAGTCTTGTTCGTTGCACACTCTGATATTCAACTTGGTATCAGAGCAGGTTAGATCCTTAGGGTTCAATCTGTTCTCGTTAGTATCAATTTGTTTGCCTTTGTCGTTGCTTGTTTTAGATTTGTTAGTTGGTATTGATTGTTTGCAAGGAAAAGAAAGATGAAAAAAAAAATTGAATTAGATGATTTTGAGGAAAGCCTGAAGTTCGTATACTGCAGTGCATTGAATCAAGAACCTCGATCAAACCCGCCCTCAACCTACTGCCTGTCTGCTGACGAGGCCCTGATCCGAGAACCACAACTTGGATCGAGTTCATCTCTGCTGCACCTACCCCATCTGAATCTGCTGTGAACCTGCATCACAACGTCTTGAAGCCGTCCTGCTACGAACTGCAGCCCAGATCCATCCCACCACCAAAATCACATCGCCACTACACTCGCATCAACCCCATATGCACACTGCCACTGCAACTAGAAACCTAGCACATCTACCGTCCAAATGGATTGTTTTGTTCGCTTGAATTGTTTGTCTTGTTGTGTCTGCCTAACGGAACTTGCCTTGTCGTGTCCGTCTAACCGAACTTGCCTTGTCATGTCTGCCTAACGGAGCTTGCATCCATATCTGCTTGTTGGCAACCTCATGATGTGTACCGCCATGAGTTTGACGGGGGGTGTTGGAATTTATTAGGTTTATTTAGAAAATTAATTAGAGATTTGATTTGACTTTGTAGTAGGGTATTTTTGGCATTTACGCATTAGGGTTTCTTAGATTTATTGCTATAAATAGAGCTTGTAATTTAGTTTGAGAACAAGTTAGTCACAATGTAGCCTCTAGGGTTTTGTAGCCATTTCGGCATTCTCGTTTGTTTAATAATATTATTATTTTGTAGTCTTGTTCGTTGCGCACTCTGATATTCAACTTCTTCCCCAAAAATGAGCAGTGAGCGTAGATGAGAAGGGGTCCTCTTTGGTTGTACATTCTGCAAGGTGTTAAAAATTGATAGGCGTTGAACTTTGTTCGGCCACATTGTACCTTGCTCTTTCTATATTGCCGCAAAGTTTTGCTCTCTAGCCTTCAAAATGACAATCTCCTGTAAAAGATCATGGATTTGGCATGATTTGACCCTCCCATCGGTTGCTGTTTCTGCTGCTTGGATCAAACTTTTGTCCAATAGCTAAGTTAACTCTCAGCAACTTCTTCTGGTGTCTTTCCGTTCTTTTCGATGACAAATTCTTCAGCCATCCATAATTGAATTAACCTGATATGGTCGATTTTATAGAGATCAGGAAACATTCTTGGATACAAGAAACAAGACTTGAGACGGTATGGTAAGTCGCTGAAACTGAGAGACAACTTTATATGTTATCAAGTTGGTCGTTTTCCTCAGTTTCAGCACCAATACTTCCACACACGCAGCCCATTCATCAATATTTTTCTTGTCTTTTGTAGCTAGAACGGCACTGATTGCCACAACTGCAAGGGGCAGTCCACGGCATTTCGTTAAGATACTTCGACAATTTTCCTCCAAATTGGGAGGACATGAGTTTTCCGGAATGCGAGTGCAGAAAAAGAGTCCAAGATTCTTCTGGTGATAAGGGCTCTAAATTGTAGACCATACCGTGGTTGTCCACGCCAGAGGCCGAGGCTACAGCAGCATTGCGGGTGGTGATCATTACACGAGTACCGTGAGTGTTGTTGGCAAGGTTCTAAAAAATGCTAGGCACTAGCCGGGCAGTGGGGAGGGGCCTAGCACATAAGCGGTCTAGGCGGATTTATATAAATTTATTATGTATCTTATAAATAAGTGCTTATTTATACTTAATAAAAAAAAAAAAAAAAACCCTATACTTGTATGGATAATTAAAGAATGATAAAATGTAAAAATAGAAGTAAAAGAATACACAAAGTACATCCATCCAACAGATTCAATATTTAAAAAATAGTAAGCATATAATCATAATGAGGGGTATTCTTGGATGATAGACTAAATTATTCTTGTTCATGATCCTTTTATTGGATTGCACATAGACTAAATTATTTAACCTTATTGTATCTAGTTTATTTCTTTTCTTTGTATGTATCCCCTCAAAAGTGCTCCAATTCATTTCACAATTGGATGAACTTGTAGTCAATCCATCATTTGCAAATTAGGTACACAATTTCCATAAGTATACCACTATGAAACTAAAAAAGAAAAAAAACACACAATTAATAATAATAAAAAAAAAAGAAAAAATAAACCAAACCGCCTAGGTGCTGCCTTGCCCGCAGCCTAGGACTGCCTAGGCGGCCACCTAGCTCCAAACTGATTTTTTAAAACGATTTTCCTTAAATCATGGTGGGTCTTCTCCGCCTAGGCGCTGCCTAGGCCGATTTTTAAAACACTAGTCGTTGGGCAGTGCATGATTGATGACATCCCACGCATCGTTGTTCCAAAGATCATCTAGAACAGTCAGGTTCCTGATTTGCTGTAGTAGTTTTTTTATTCTCTCTCTTAACTGGTTGGTGTTCATAATATCAACTTCTTCAGGGACTGGTTTCCCGATAACTTTGAAGATATTCTGAAGTATGTGTCTTAGGAGCTGCTTTATCTTGAATGATTGAGAAACTATGATCCAAGCATGTACCTTAAAATGTTTCTTAACTTTTGCATCCCAACCACCGATACTGCTTGGTGTCTAGATTCACCCGTCATGAGCAACTCAATCAGCTACCTTTTGGGCTCACCGATTGCCACGAGATCAGCCTCTTCCAGCCAAAAGGGCATCACCTTGACTGATCTGAAGCTTCCTAACCTTGCTTGAGCCAGGGTCAACATCAAGCTTGTATTTGTCATGTCACGTCCCTCTGAGAGACTTCTGATCTTTGATTTGATGCCTTGAATATCACCAGCAACCGAGCTTTTAATTTCTTGATGATGCGAGAAAGCTTACGAAGGGATTGCATGGAATCCGTGCCTGTGAACATGTGAATGAGAGAGCCTGAATTTGTCAAGCGCATCTTCAATCTCATAAGCCAAGTCTCTGACTTGTTTAACCCACACTTTGAGTCGAGGGTCTTCGTCTTCCTCTGTGTCAGCAACCCTTAAGAAGGCTTTAATGCGCTCCAACTCATCGATGATATCCTCGATCTGTGCTTGGACCCCTGAGAATAGTCTCCCCTCCTGTTCGATCAAGGAGGTGAGCCTGTCGAGCAAGAAGGTGACAACACTTTCTGCCATTTCTTTGGCTTTGAAACTTTTGTTTTGAAACTGAAAAGATGAAGAATGATGAGTGGAAGCTGGGAAGAGAAGGGTTTTGCGTGGAAGTCGTAAAATATATTGATATTGTTTTACGTGAGAAATGGTCAAAGTTTCTTTCAAACATTTGTTCATCCCATTACTTTGCAGCTTCCCAATTTTTTGGTTTTTATCTTACTTTGTAAACTACCAGGCAAATACTTTGACAAATTTTTGTAACACAATAACTGAATGATTAGGCAAGTTCGATATCTACTTTCTCTTTTTTTTATTTTTTTTTATGACGAAACTATATTATCTACACTAAGAGGGTGGGAGAGTGGGTTAAGCATCACAATGGTCTAGTAATAATGCAATTCAAATTTGTTTTTTATGAGAATCGAACCTAAGATATCTAAGTTATTTAACTTAGCCAAATTATCAACCCTTACTGTAAAATATCGTTGTAATTGAATAAATTTATCTATTTATTTTTGTTTTCTATAAGAAATGAATAAAAGATGGTAGTTAAACAAAGTTGAGTTGCGTGGTCCGACGAAACACCGTGTTGCCTCATATTACAGGATCTGGAAGGAATCATTCGGCCCGTATAAATTTCCTAGCAATGTTCCAATTACCTCATCTTTGTCTTTTTCTCACTCGCACGTTTGCAGTCAACTACACAAAAACCCACAAGACTCCAACAAGACCGTGTCAGGCCATCTCCAACCAAATGGTCTAGAGGGTTAGATAGCCGAAAATAGCCCAAAAACTGTCTCCAACCGAGGGCTAGGCCAAAGGGCTCGTGAGCTCCATAGGACAAAAATGGTCAAACGACCATCCAGTTGGCCCATTCCAGCTAGCCAGTCGGCCCCGGGCCGGGCCATACATTCAAATGCAACGGCTAACTGACGACAGCATGACGCCAGCTAGCAACGGCTAGCTGGCGTCAGTTACTGTTGGATTTGAATTTTTTTTTTTGGGCCAAATTTTTTTAAAAAAATTTTAAAAAATTCTCATTTTTTCCTATAAATACTTAAGTCATTCCACCTTTTGTCACATAATTTTCACCATTCCTACACTATTACCTCTTCCAATAATCTTTCCTTCATATTTTTCAATAATTTTCAAATGGCCTCATCTGCAATGAAAGGTAGGGCTTGAACTCGAAAAGAAGATGAAGCTCTTTGCAGGGCTTATAGATGAGTCTCGGAAAATAGTGTGAGGGAGAATTCTCAAACAAGTGAAGGTGTTTGGACTCGTGTGTCCAAAAAATACTATGAGTTCTACGAAGGCACCACTCCACCGAATACCGGAAACTACGAGAGTTGTTCTTTAAGATGGAAGAAACATCTTCATCCAAATTTGAATAAATGACATCAAGCAATGTTAGCTTTATTTTAAATATTTAATTATATTACTTTAATTTCATAAATGAATTTCCTTTAATTTTTGTAATTATATTACATTTAATTTCATAAATTAATTTCCCCTTAATTTTTGTAATTATATTTTCTAGGTACACCAAGCGGAAGAATTGTATATGGAGGGTAGCTCGAAATCCTTTCAGCATCATAGTTGTTGGGAAATTTGTAAAGGGCGGCAGTTGTTTACCTTTGACTATACTCTTACAATGGCGGATGATGAAGATGATGTTGATTATGTACTTTAAATTTAAGTTGTAGTTTTAAATTTAAGTTATTGTAGTTTTTAAATTTAAATAATACATTATGTTTGGCCCTCAGTTGGAGATGGTTTTTTGTCATAGGGCTATGCTTGGCCCTATGACCCTATAACCCTTTGGCATTCGGTTGGGGATGGTAAGAAATATAGCACTGCACTGTTCATTAAAATATTAATTTCTTGGAATGTCAAAGGGCTTAAACAAACCCTCGGACCCTTCTTCGATTGGAGATAGCCTTATTGACAAATAAATCGACTAGGACAAAAGATACACACTTGTTTACCAAAAACTTGTAACGGACAAGCAATATATCATGGTTCACTGAAATTGGGCTACGTCAAAATTGGGGTACAGCAGTGTTGCAATTTAAGTCATACCTTGTTACCTAAGCAACCGGGTCATACCTTATGATAAGTAAAATGTTTCAGAACACTTTCCACGTGATGCTCTCAGTTATAACGTAAAATGCTATAAGTTTTAAGGTAATATGAAAATCCAAAGTAAATAATCATTGAGAATCCATGTAATACAATCGAGGGGGAAAACAAAACAAAAAAAGGACAACAAAATTTGCGTAAATTACAATAAGAACTAATTCCCACAGCCAACTTTGGGCGTTTTACTGCTCGAGTAACAAATGTTTTCATAATTGCAAAAAGAACTAATCTTCATCGTCAGAGTTGAAGGTGATTTTTTGAGACTTTGGAGCATCGGCAGGAATCTCTTTGAAGTGAGCCCCGTAAAGTTTGGACTCCTGTATTTCAATACCCCAAAGAAAGAGCATAAGAAAAAGGATTGTTAAAATGCCACTCATGCAAGCAGATTAAAAGAACGCGGAACATGAATGCGAATTATTCAGCAACCAGAAGGAAAAGCTAAATATGAGATAAGATGAAAGAGAACCAAATGCGTGCCTTCTTCTTAACATGGGTGCCAAATTTCAACAAGGCTTCTGGCACATTTTGCTTGGCTTCTCTGAGAACATTGACCAGCTCCCCCGCAAGTCCCTGGAATAGTACTCAATATATAGTAGTTCGACGTAGAATTCTTCTCAAAATCTTGTAGAATATTGATTTATTTAGTGTTACCTTGTTGTGATGTGTGAAAAAAGTATGAGCAACGCCCTTCTTTCCAGCCCGTCCAGTCCGCCCAATTCGGTGGACATAATCCTCAGTAGTGAGGGGAAAACTATAGTTGATCACTACTTCAACGTCTGGAATATCCAATCCACGAGCAGCCACATCAGTAGCTATCTGAAAATATGTTTCAGATAAAATGCAATATATTATAACCAGTTTCCAGACATAGCTACAAGAAGTTAAAATATTTCTTCATACAGATAGGGTCTTTCAGACAGAAGCAAGCATATGCTAACCACAAGTTCCCTGTCAAAAAGTTCGTAGAGATTTCAATAAATAGTTACCCCTATACAAAAACATTTTAAACCAGCTGGAAGGAAACTATAAAACAGTTGGGCGGAATGTAAAAACATACCGAGACTTCCACAATATACAAGAACGTTGTTTTGGTAAATACGAGTACCTACCTTGTCCAAGATACTTGTGGGTTCTTTTTGTCATCATCATTATCTTTCAAGTTTCAAGTTCCATTCTAGTAAACCTTAATTCTTTCACTTTTCCTTAATACTGATTTTTGTAACCGAGTTAAAAAAGTTCGGATACAAATTAAGAGATCCCTCCTAAATAGGGTAGGAAAGAAAATGGTGCCTCTCATCATGTGGCACTAAGAGCTAAAATGTCCATCCAATTCTTAGATAAAAAGGGGAGGGCAAAGCAGAAGAAGACATAGTGTCAACGGTCAAGTTTATTATCATCCTCCATTGTATTTTAAATACTGTATTTAGATAAAACATATCACTTCTATCGAACAACATACCATCAAGGGGCAGCTTCCCTTCTTGAACAGAGAGAGTGCCTTTGTACGCTCACTTTGTGCCTTATCACCATGTATAGAAACAGCTTTCCAACCCCTAAAAATAAGAAATACATAGACCATCAGTAGCTTTCCTCAAATATCTTCGGCAGCAATCCAAATATGTATCAAGAACTTTACCCTTTGTGCAGCATATTCTCAAGGCGAGGGGCTTCCGCTTTGTACAAGACAAAAATCAAAACTCTGTTCCTGTTCCACAGTATGACATCGGTATTAGCTGATATCAAATTACATCATCAAGGAAAGTAATTAAGTATTGAAGGAGCTCCATTGTGTGATCTAAAAATTGAACATGTATAGATGGTAAAACCAAGTGGGATTCGATCACACAAAATACACACAACACTAGTTCCAAAATAATCCACGACGGATTGGCTAAGACACAAGTTACAAATGAAATAATGGGACATAATGTGCCAATACTTACTCTTGGGATTTGTGGTATTTTTCTAGCAATGCAACCAAGCGCCCATTACGTGAATGATCATCCAAGACCTACGAACGTGAGATGGAGGTCAATTGCAGTAAAGCATATATTGAATTAACAAAATAAACATCTATTCATCACATAGGTTTCATGTGTGTTGAGAACTTGTACCTCAACTATCTGCATAACATCATGGTTGGCAGCTAAATCCTCTGATCCAACAACTACCTGAAATAATGTGTTATTAATTTTCCAAAAGGTGAAAACGAACTATTAAAGGTCACAATAATTAAGAATTCACACCTTAACAGGATTAGGATCCATGAATTCCTGAGCTAATTGATGAACTGATGGAGGCCATGTAGCACTGAACATTACCATTTGCCGAGCTGCACAGAGTCAATATATCTATATCATTATCACCAGACTGAAATTATCCTACAAAACTAATTGAACTAGTTAGAAAGATCCGAGAGTACTGAAATGTCAAGGTTCAAGTGGGACAGACCTTACCTAGCCCAAAAATTGGAGAAAACTTAGATACTTCAACCTAATTAGCAGTCTAGAGTTTAATTGGCCTCAAATTTTCCAATAAATTCATTTCAGAAATTCAAACTGCTCATGGTACTCCTTTTACGAGACATCTTTGGAGAGCAATCCGGGGGAAATAGATTACTTCTTATTTCATATTTAGGCAAGCATCACAAATTATTCTATAGAATTCCCCAATGGATTAATGTGGATATTTCCAGAGTCATGTACCAACTGGCACATTAAAAGGGCAACTTTGTAAGCTTCTAAAATAAGAGTTAGTGAAAAGAAATTCTGGGTTTCTTCTTGTGTGGAGGCACAGCAACCTTGGAGTGATTGCAAAATACCTTTGGTATGATGCTGAAGGCCAGTCTGATGCCGGAATTTTTCTAACTTTATTGGAGTGATTCCAATAACCTTTGGTATGATGCCAAAGGCCAGAGTGAGTACACATCTTCTATATTCCTATCTATTTCTATTGTCCTACATCAGTTTGGTGGGAGACCCAGTATATTTGGCAAGGCTGGGAACCTGGCGACTGACTTAAGATACTACTACTTCAACATGTCAAACTCAATGTCGATTCTTTTGCAACCAAGGGAGAATAATGGAGGAGCCAAGTTAAAATTCAATAAATTAGTCTTTCTACTTCTTATGTAATGAAAGCAGTTTAGTCAGCAAATTCTGCGTTTGAGTCTCTCTATGTTACAATATTAATTATTTGTTGTCATAATTTTTTCTTTAGAATTCCTCAGTATATTAATGTAGATCTTTCCAGATTCATGTACCAACTGGCATATAAAAGGGGCTTACTTTGTAAATTTTTAAAATAAAAGTCAGTGAAAAGAAGTTCTGGGTTACTGCTTGTGTGTGAGACACAGCAACCTTGGAGTGATTCCAAGGTACCTTCGGTGTGATGCTGAAGGCCAGTGTGATGCTGGAATTTTTCTGATTTCTCTATTGGTGTGATTCCAGTACACCTTGGCTGTGATGCCAATGGCCAGAGTGAGTCTGATTCTTTTATATTCCTATCTATTTCTACTGTCCTACATCAATAGGTCTCATAACTGAATTACTTCCAGGCCCCTCATAATTAAAATCATTTTCAGTTAGATGATTTCTATTAGAAACAAAAAACAGTTGTCCAAAAGTCTAAGTCAAAATGATTGTCTTTCCTCTCTCTATGGATAGGTATCCAATAGCACTAAACCTGTGTATGTAAGTAGAGATGAGTGGTTATTTCTAATAAAGGGATGAAACAATTAGTAACATAAACTGGAAGAGCATATTTTTCCTCACACACCTTCTCCATATGACAATGGAATCAAATAAACTATTTAAATTTTAAACAAATCATTAAAATGTTTTAGACTTAATTAAAGTACTTCCAAACAAACTAGAGTACTTGATGTCACCTGATAGATAAAGAGAGAACTATTAATGCTACATCACATACCAGAGCATGTCTGGCCCAATATATAGCGAACTTCTGGTTCAAATCCCAAGTCTAGCATTCGATCTGCTTCATCAAGGACCTACGAAAAATTTCTGTTAGTCTCTATTTTCTGAGATCTTTAACACTACTAAAACATTCCATGTATAAAAAGACAAGGGTAGTGCTATTCACACACCCCTTTTTACCTCCCACACACCCTTGTCAATTTTTTGTGCATTGATCCTCTTCAATTCATTCGATCCGATGGCCAAAAATTGAGTGGGGTGTGTGAGAGGTAAAAATAGGTGTGCGGATAACACCACCCAAAGAAAAATTCACATCCAAACTAAAGAAAAATAAGAAAATGAAACTTAATGATACTTCCCTTCAGGTAACAGATACTTACCGTAAAAGATACTTCCTTCAGGCAACAATCCTTATTTTCAATGAGATCCTTTAGACGACCAGGAGTTCCAATGACGATGTCCTAAGAGCACAGAAAAGTATACAAAAACCAATTGTAAGAAGATACAAAATGACAAACATAGAACCTCTACAGAATACTTCCACCTGCACATGTACTGAATTAACTCAATCAGACTTTTGCCCAAACCAAAAGAACTAACTTTTCAAAATTTCCAAGTAAACCCAACTGATGTGGTATACCAGACTACCAGTAGCAACGACTGAAGTTTTTAAGTTAAAACTATTTAGTCAGCAGGAGTAACCCCAAATCTAGTTTGAATCATAAGCTCTTTCTCTTCTATAAGTAGGATACTACTATACTCAGGGCTACCAGGGTACTAATGCATATAATCTTTAATTGTAGACACATTCAAAACAATTTCTTTTAATAAGATCTTTGAATAAGCTTTTCAAATGAGAACTTGTTTCTCACTTGTTACAACAATAACAACAAAGCATTTTCCCACTAAGGGGGGTCGGCTATATGAATCCTAGAACGCCATTGCGCTCGGTTGTGTGTCACGTCTTCCGTTAGATCCAAGTACTTTAAGTCTTTTCTTAGAGTCTCTTCCAAAGTCCTTCTAGGTCTTCCTCTACCCCTTCGGCCCTGAACCTTTGTCCTGTAATCGCATCTTCTAACCGGAGCGTCAGTAGGCCTTCATTTCACATGTACAAACCACCATAACCGATTTTCTCTCATATTTCCTTCAATTTCGGCTACTCCTACTTTACCTCGAATATCCTCATTCCTAATCTTATCATTTCTCATATGCCCACACATCCAACGAAGCATTCGTGCCATAAAGCATTGCCGGCCTTATTGCCGTCCTATAAAATTTTCCCTTGAGCTTCAGTGGCATACGACGGTCACACAAAACGCCGGATGCACTCATCCATCCAACTTGTTTCTCACTTGTTAATCATACTTAAATAGATAATATGCACTGAGTTGCATGTCATCCACTGTGTTTTTGTGAAATTTATAACAACTTTCCAATCTTTTTTTTTTATGTAGATTTCACCAAACTCATCCTGTCATTTCTCTGAAAATTGATGTTTTGTCGATATTACCATCTACATTTTGGTATTTTGAACCTCACAATACTTCCGTTAACATTAATATTCAATACCTTGGTTGTTATATGACCAGCAAAACAAAAGAAAAGAGGAAACTGTTTTGTGCACATCAAGTACAGGGCAAGCTTTGCATTAGGGAATCCTTGATTTGGCTACAATTGACTATGTGCAAAGCTTTCAAAAAGGACAAAGAATCCTTACATCATTAGGTGAAATTTATTTGGTTTATGTATATTCAAAACGAGGACAAAGTTCAAAATAAAGAATTAAATCTAGACGTCATCGTATTTCCAAGTCGCAGCGTTACTGATACAGTTTAAAACATGAAGTTAATTTTGATTAGCCAATTGTAGACCAGTGTAAAGTATGAGGGGATGAAGTATAAATTTGAATTTGTGCCACATAAAATAAGAAAGAATTAAGTATCTTACAACACCAGACTTCAACATAGATATTTGGGGTCCCTTGGATGCTCCTCCGAACAAACAAACTGATACCACACCACAAGGTTTCCCAGCCTCGAACAAAACATCTGAAATCTGCCACCAGAAGATAAAGCAAATGGTCAGTCACCTTTCAATAAATAACCTTGAATTTCTCCGGTGAACATATCACATGCCCAAGCAGCAGGTGAAAAAGGAATGTAAGCAACAACAAAAAATTATTAGTACAACCAAATACAAAAAGGAAACAAAGTTCACAAACTTGTTTCACTCTACTATTTGTTGGACATTCTTCTTACATGAAAAGTTTGTGGCTTTTAAGTGTTTGACATAGAAGGATATGATACTTGCTGACCCATTGTTGAAACTCCTTGAATGCTTAAAAAGAATTCCCCTTTCTTCTTACATCAGAACCAATGGAACACTGGTTCTATCCTAATGCAAAAAACATTTCCCCCACCCTCATTTACCACTGTGGACTAACCCAAAGATATTCGCCTACATTGCAAGAGCGCAGAATTTGTACACATGACTATCAATATCACAATTTGTGCAACTATATGGTTCTTTTTCAACCTTAACAAGCAACAATCCAAAAGAGGGTTATCATCTTCTATCAGCTTTCTGACAAGTAAAGGTACCATTTGCAGCAACTCTGTTCAAAACTCATTTATGGACTATTATAGTGAAATGCATGACCAGATACCCAAAAAAATCAATGTTCTCAACTCCCCGTGTATGTGAGTGATTCCCCATTACACGTTTTATGATGAATATCTAATTCACGTAACAAAATCCTTGAGACAATTGAGTCGAATCCTTATGATCACGTCGAATCCTTATGAAAATGAATCCAGAACAAAATCGCGCTAAAGCTTGGGCGTCACCCGTAAGTGGCGCGCTGTGTGGCCCGAGCACAGTGATAAGTGAGCAAGGGTCGCTGTATCTCCATCGGCACCCGGATGCAGTGTTAAATGAGCAAGGGGCCGTAGAAACTTCTTTTCGAACGACTCCACTCAAAGTTGTTTGGGAGCATATGCTCCTATCAACTTTACACGGGATACACAAAAGAAGTACTTTGATCCTATTAGACGGGGGAGGGTGAAGAAGCTAGGACAGAAGGGTAGAGTTCAAGAGAGCAAAATGCGTTTAGGAACGTGGAATATAGGAACCTTAACGGGAAAATCTATGGAAGTAGTGGAAGTTATGGTGAGGAGAAGGATAAATATTATGTGCCTACAAGAAACTAAGTGGGTTGGTAGTAAGGCAAAGGATCTAGAAAACTCAGGGTTTAAACTTTGGTATTCGGGCACAAATAGAACGAGAAACGGTGTTGGCATCATCGTGGACAAGACCTTGACACAAGATGTTGTAGATGTCAAGAGGGTAGGAGATAGAATCATGGCAATCAAGATTGTAATAGGACAAGAACTTATCAATGTGATTAGTGCGTACGCACCTCAAGTAGGGTTGGATACGAGTTCGAAGGAGAAATTTTGGGAAGACCTTGGAGACTTGGTGCAAGGAATTGCTCAGACGGAGAAGTTATTTATAGGAGGAGATTTAAATGGACACGTGGGCAGGGAGACAGGCAACTATGGAGGTTTTCATGGTGGCCATGGTTTTGGGGAGAGAAACGAGGATGGGGAAGCTATCTTGGATTTTGCAATGGCATATGATCTCTTCTTAGCCAACACCTTCTTTAAGAAGAGAGAAGAACATGTGATCACCTACAAGAGTGGGTCGTCAAAAACACAAATAGATTTTCTTCTAATGAGGAAAGGGGATCGTATAACTTGTAAGGATTGCAAAGTTATACCAGGAGAGAGCGTGGCTAATCAACATCGCTTGTTGGTGATGGATGTACATATCAAAAGAGTGAGACAAAAAGAACAAGACTTGGAAGTGCCCAAGGACTAGATGGTGGAATCTAAAAGAAGAAAAACAAGCCATTTTCAAAGAGAAGGTAATCACCCAATGTGTGTGGGATAGAGAGGGGGAAGCTAGCCAAATGTGGGATTCCATGGCTAGTTGTATCCGAAAAGTAGCAAAGAGGTATTAGGAGAGTCCAAGGGCTTTGCCCCACACCAAAAGGAATCTTGGTGGTGGAATGAGGAGGTACAAACAAAGGTGAAGGCTAAGAAGGAATGTTGTAAAGCCTTATACAAGGAGAGGACCGATGAAAATGGTGAAAGGTATAGAAAAGCGAAGCAAGAGGCGAAGAAAGCTGTCAGAGAAGCTAAGTTAGCGGCTTACGACGATATGTATAAACGACTAGATACCAAAGAAGGAGAGTTGGATATCTATAAACTAGCTAGAGCAAGGGAAAAGAAGACAAGGGACCTAAACCAAGTGAGGTGCATCAAGGATGAGGATGGAAAGGTTCTTGCTACAGAGAACGCGGTTAAAGACAGATGGAGAGGTTATTTTCATAATCTTTTCAATGAAGGACATGAAAGGAGTGCTTCTTTAGGGGAGTTGAGTAACTCAGAAGAGTGTAGAAACTACTCTTTTTTATCGTCGAATCCGGAAGGAAGAAGTGGTTGTAGCTTTGAAGAAGATGAAGCATAGAAAAGCAATAGGCCCAGACGATATACCAATCGAAGTGTGGAAAGTTTTGGGAGAGACAGGTATAACATGGCTCACTGACCTTTTCAATAGGATTTTGAAAACGAAGAAGATGCCAAATGAGTGGCGAACGAGCACTTTGGTGCCTATCTACAAGAATAAGGGCGACGTACAAAATTGCATGAACTATAGGGGTATTAAGCTAATGAGTCATACAATGAAGCTCTGGGAGAGAGTCATTGAGCACTTTGGTTTCGGACAACCAATTCGGGTTCATGCCAGGGCGCTCAACCATGGAGGCAATCTATCTCTTACGAAGATTGATGGAAAGATATAGAGATGGGAAAAAGGATTTACACATGGTCTTTATAGATTTGGAAAAAGCGTATGATAGGGTCCCAAGAGACATTCTTTGGAGGATTTTAGAGAAGAAAGGAGTACGAGTAGCATATATCCAAGCTATAAAGGATATGTATGAAGGAGCAAAGACTGCCGTAAGAACTCATGAAGGACAAACCGAAAGCTTTCCCATAACTGTAGGATTACATCAAGGCTCATCCTTAAGTCCTTACCTTTTTGCGTTGGTAATGGATGAGTTAACAGGACATATTCAAGATGATATTCCTTGGTGTATGCTTTTCGCAGACGATATATAGTGTTGATAGATGAAACTCAGGAAGGGGTAAATGCAAAGCTTAACCTTTGGAGAGAAGTGTTGGAATCTAAAGGTCTTCGCCTAAGCCGATCAAAGACAGAATATATGGAGTGCAAGTTCAGTGCAAATGGAGGCCAAAACGAGTTAGGGGTGAGGATCGGAGATCAAGAAATACCAAAGAGCGACCGTTTTCGTTACCTAGGATCTATCTTGCAAAAGAACGGAGAATTAGATGGAGATCTCAACCATAGAATACAAGCTGGATGGATGAAGTGGAAGAGTGCATCCGGCGTGTTGTGTGACCGCCGTATGCCACTGAAGCTCAAGGGAAAATTTTATAGGACGGCAATAAGGCCGGCGATGCTGTATGGCACAGAATGTTGGGCGGTGAAGCATCAACACGTACACAAAATGGGTGTAGCGGAGATGAGGATGCTTCGTTGGATGTGTGGGCACACGAGAAAGGATAAGATTAGGAATGAGGATATCCGGGGTAAAGTAGGAGTAGCCGAAATTGAAGGAAAGATGAGAGAAAATCGGTTACGGTGGTTTGGACATGTGCAAAGAAGGCCTACTGACGCTCCGATTAGAAGATGCGACTATGGGACAGAGGTTCAGGGCCGAAGGGGTAGAGGAAGACCTAGGAAAACTTTGGAAGAGACTCTAAGAAAAGACTTAGAGTACTTGGATCTAACGAAGGACATGACACAGGACCGAGCACAATGGCGTTCTAAGATTCATATAGCCGATCCCACTCAGTGACTTGGATTTTCCAAGTCTCCAACCGAGAAGTTTTCCTCACTCGGAAAAATTAAGGGAACACTACCCCAACCTACATGCTCCACTCAGAAAGCTTCAACATACAAGCTTCAACAAAAGAAAATTCAAAGAACTTAGCGAAGAAGGCTTTGGTGTATTTAACACAATACGTTGAAATGAAGGAAAAGCTTATTTATTGATATCCCCGATAAGCTACAAATATGTACATATACATGAGTCAAAATAAACAAACAAGAGGGAGCCTTCACAAAGGTTGCTTAGGAGAAGTCTCAGCAGTCGGTAGAGCCCCAGAAAGAGAAGGCACCGGAGGGGGATCATTCGGAGCCTCAGTACTGGACAGAACCCTAGAAGGAGGAGGCATCAGAGGTTGATCATTTGGAGCTTCATTACGCGGTACAGCCCCAGAAGACGAAGGCAATAAATGCCTTTGGAACAAACCCACAAATCTCTGATGATCAAGTAAAACCTGACCATCAGTTTCCTTCATCTGGTCAAGCTTCCTCTTCATGTTTGTAGCATAGTCATGTGCGAGCCGGTGCAACTGTTTATTCTCATGCTTGAGCCCTCTAATCTCCTGTTTGAGACTCATCACTTCAGCCGCCAATGATTCAACTTGGCGGGTTCGAGCAAATAGGCGTTGGGCCATATTAGACACAGAACCTGCACACTGAACACTGAGAGCCAGCGAATCCTTAACAGCTAACTCATCAGACCGTTTGGAAAGTAGTCTGTTATCTTTGGGAGTGAGAAGGTTCCTGGCCACCACCGCAGCGGTCATATCATTCTTCATCACGGAATCCCCAACGGTAAGAGGACCAGTAGGGGAGACGAAGGATGGGCGCCATATGTTGTCTGGAGAAGGCGGGGCTGCCTCTTCAACAAGGTTCAAGTCAAAACGACGGTCGGAGGGGCCAGACATTTTCAAAGGTGTTGAAGAGAGAAGAGGTCGGACAAATCAAGATCTTAGAAGTGCAAGAATGGAGCTTCTACTGGTGGAGATTCAAGTGTGCTTTGGAACTTAATGCCAGCCCCTATAAAAATCTGCACTCGACGGAGCTTCAGAAATCGAAGAGGCGCCTGCTCAGAAATCGAAGAGGCGTTTGCTTTCTCAAAAGCTGGGCTGCTTAGAGACCACGAGGGTTGATCTCAGAAATCGAAGAGGGTGTTTGCTTTCTCAAAAGTTGGGCTGCTCAAAGACCACGAAAGCCGATCTCAGAAATCGAAGAGGCGCTCGCTTTCTCAAAAGCTGGGCTCCTCAGAGACCACGAGGGCCGATCTCAGAAATCGAAGAGGCACCTACTTTTCCAGCCTTGTCAGCACCTGTCACACGCACACTCAGCTTTGCGGAAATTATGGGCATTCTGTCGAAGACTTCTGGGGAAGTAGAAAACACATGAATCTTACTGTTCAATCACCCACTTCCCACACGCAACAATAGCTCATGGGTACCACAGATAACTTTGCCAAAGTTCTCTGCCAAAGTTGAGCACGTGAAGCTTGCAGCTCCCACTACATCGCTCTGACCAAGAAGGGTAAAAGAATAGCAAAGAAACAGCACTAACAAAGTTTAGACCCATAAATTTTGAAGGTCTAGCTACCATATTATTACCCACAAGGGTAAAGGAACAGTACCACTGCTGGATAATTGGAAAGTCCCTGTGTGTCAACCTCTGTGCTTCGTGGCAAGGTAGACTAGCAAACATGCCCAACCTTTACTCACATTCGAGAAAACACTCCCAATAAGATTGCTTGCTCCAAAATCGAAGAGGCACCGTCCTTCCGAATCTCGAGAGCCAGACTCCCAACATGACTACTTTTCTAAAAATCGAAGAGAGGGTAAAGGAACAGTACCATTGCTGGATAATTGGAAAGTCCTTGTGTGTCAACCTCTGTGCTTCGTGGCAAGGTAGACTAGCAAACATGCCCAACCTTTACTCACATTTTGAGAAAACACTCCCAACAAGATTGCTTGCTCCAAAATCGAAGAGGCACCACCCTCCGAATCTCGAGAGCCAGACTCCCAACATGATTACTTTTTTTCAAAAATCGAAGAGACACTGCTCCCCGAATCTCGAGAGCCAGACCCCCAGCATGATTGCTTTCTCAAAAATCGAAGAGGCATCGTTCTCCGAATCAATCGAAGAGGCGCTCGCTTTCTCAAAAGCTGGGCTGCTCAGAGACCACGAGGGCCGATCTCAGAAATCAAAGAGGCACCTTCTTTTCTAGCCTTGTCAGCACCTGTCACACGCACACTCAGCTTTGCGGAAATTATGGGCATTCTGTCGAAGACTTCTGGTGAAGTAGAAAGCACATGAATCTTACTGTTCAATCACCCACTTCCCACACGCAACAATAGCTCATGGGTACCACAGATAACTTTGTCAAAGTCTCTGCCAAAGTTGAGCACGTGAAGCTTGCAGCTCCCACTACATCGCTCTGACCAAGAAAGGTAAAAGAATAGCAAAGAAACAGCACTAACAAAGTTTAGACACATAAATTTTGAAGGTCTAGCTACCATATTATTACCCACAAGGGTAAAGGAACAGTACCACTGCTGGATAATTGGAAAGTCCCTGTGTGTCAACCTCCGTGCTTCGTGGCAAGGTAGACTAGCAAACATGCCCAACCTTTACTCACATCCGAGAAAACACTCCCAACAAGATTGCTTACTCCAAAATCGAAGAGGCACCGCCTTCCGAATCTCGAGAGCCAGACTCCCAACATGATTACTTTCTCAAAAATCGAAGAGACACTGCTCCCCGAATCTCGAGAGCCAGACCCCCACCATGATTGCTTTCTCAAAAATCGAAGAAGCATCGTTCTCCGAATCTCGAGAGCCAGATACCACATACCACTTTTTCAAAGTGCTCTGACAGAGTTAAAACATGTGAAGCTGGCAGCTCCCACTACCGTGCTATGACCAAGCAGGGTAAAGGAATAGCATTACTACTTGTTGTTAGGGAGACTCCTATATATGTCGACCTCCATCCCCAACGGACAGGCAGACCTGCAAAAATGCTCAACCCTTCCTCATATCTGAGAAGGCACTCCCAACGAAGCCTTTCGAAATATTCAGCTTTCTTTCCCCCCGATAATACCTCTGCAAACAAGCTATACTAGAGCAAGAATATCTCATATCATCAGGGTTAAAAGCAAGAGTATCCCATATCATGCTTTTTTCCCTGTCTTTTCCTTTGGCCTTGTTTTTACCTGCAAGACAAGGAGAAAGAGAGCAATCAGTCAGCACTTGAAATCAAGCTCCCAGCCAGGAACTGACAGCCTGGAACCCCTTACCTGATTACTTACCTGGCATTGCTCTCGAGTACTCATCTTCAACATCTTATGTTGCCAGGGAAGATACCGTATCTGCTTGAGGAACAGATAGGGCAAGTGCGAAGGATACAAGGAAGCATGTGGAGACAAGCGTAACAGCACACGTGCCGATCCATCCATTACTCTGTCAAAAGCAAAAGTATCCCATATCAGCAGGGTCGAACGTACTCTAGATTTGATGGACTTGTTTTGACCCTCAAATTCTTCAGTCGGCCTTATACTCTGGAGGAAACCAGAAAACCCTTCAGCTCAGTTCAAGAATAAGCCTGTGGAAAGTTACTTCTTCAAAAGCAAAAGTATCCCATATGGCAAGTGCCTTCGCCCATGAGCGGTAGGTCTCGGGTTCGAGACTTGGGAGCAGCCTCTCCATAAATGGGGGTAAGGCTAGCCGACATTCACCTCTCCCAGACCCTGCGTAAAGCGGGAGCCTTGTGCACTGGGTACGACCTTATCCTTCATGCTGCTGCAAGATGGGGAGAAGGTGAACAATCAGCCGGAGCTCTGATTGCTTACCTTGTCTGTCACCTCTTTCAGCAAATCCCCTAGCTCGGCGACTTGGGGGACTCCTACTACATGGTTTGTATCGCGCTTGACCAAGCCTGAAACTACAAGTAAGCTTCAAGTGAAATTGATACATTACCTTGTGCATCTCCACCAGTTAAAGATACCACCCCTGGATGGAGGAAGAGTACTTCCAGAGAAGTTGCCACATCTACCTATGAGACAGATAAGGCAAGTCGATACCACACTCCGATACTTAGAAGTTTCGTGATTACGAGATCATTCTCCCACAATATTTCCTAATGTCATTTGTACTCTAATGTCATTTGTACTAAATCATTCACTTGTACTCACTAAAGGAGAGCTTGAACCTATGTACTTGTGTAAACCCTTCACAATTAATGAGAACTCTTCTATTCCGTGGACGTAGCCAATCTGGGTGAACCACGTACATCTTGTGTTTGCTTTCCTATCTCTATCCATTTATATACTTATCCACACTAATGACCGGAGCAATTTAGCGAAGATCACAAAAAGCGACCGTTTTCGCTACCTAGGATCTATCTTACAAGAGAACGGAGAATTAGATGGAGATCTCAACCATAGAATACGAGCTTGATGGATGAAGTGTAAGAGTGCATCCAGCATGTTGTGTGACCGTCGTAGGCCACTGAAGCTCAAGGGAAAATTTTATAAGACGGCAATAAGGCCAGCGATGTTGTATGGCACAGAATGTCGGGCGGTGAAACATCAACACGTACACAAAATGGGTGTAGCAGAGATGAGGATGCTTCGTGGGATGTGTGGGCACACGAGAAAGGATAAGATTGAGAATGAGGATATCCGAGGTAAAGTAGGAGTAGCCGAAATTGAAGGAAAGATGAGAGAAAATCGGTTCCGGTGATTTGGACATGTGCAAAGAAGGCCGACTGACGCTCCGGTTCGAAGATGTGACTACGGGACAGAGGTTCAGGGCCGAAGGGGTAGAGGAAGACCTAGGAAAACTTTGGAAGAGACTCTAAGAAAAGGCTTAGAGTACTTGGATCTAACGGAGGACATGACACAAAACCGAGCGCAATGGCGTTCTAGGATTCATATAGCCGACCCCACTTAGTGGGAAAAGGCTTTGTTGTTGTTGAATTTAGAGCAAAAAATATCCTTAATTTTACTGATTCTAACTTTCTAGATTTTCTTGAGGTCAAGGGTAATTCCATAATAGCTCATCAGCATCAGATTAAAAGACCTACGACTAGCCGCCCACTGCCATATACCTACCACACAGTCATCCATCATTGGACTTATCCAAGGGTACTATAGCAATAAATTATTCATTATTCAACACCCTTCGTCTTCCTCTGAACTTGCATTCTAGGAGGAGAGAGAAATTGACCGGGGGAAACACAATTACTCTAAAACCCCTTCTTGGAAGTCGGAACCCTATGCTACAAGAGGCAATATTGAATCAGAGATTTCAATTTCTTAATCGACACAGAAAACTTAAAAATATTATCCAACACTAGTTAGAATATGCATCTTGGGTCAGTAAGCACATACTTGTTGAGCTAGCTCCCTTGTAGGTGCAAGCGCAAGGCAAAGAGGAGTTCGTCCCCTCGAAAACTTACCCTTCCTCTTGTTCAAAACCTGCATAATAGCGGGTATTCCAAAAGCCAAAGTCTTGCCTAGAAAACACAACACAATCAGCTTAATTGGACAAAAAGAGCTCACAACACAAACCAAACTTCAAATCCCAAAATCCAATCCACACTAGTACCTGACCCGGTTTTTGCAATCCCAATAAAATCGCGACCGTCCAATAAGAACGGCCAGGCCCGGGATTGAATCGGAGATGGACTGTTGAAATTCTGACAGCATTGTAAAACCTCACTAGGAAGCTTCGATTCTGCAAAGGAAGTCAGTGGCTTGTATTTGGCTTCCTTCGAATCCTTCCCACTAACCACCACAGCCGCGTCTCCAGATTCACCTTCGTCGGCATGGCCATTTTCCTGTGGCTCCTGATTATTTTCGGGTTCTTCCTCCTTGTCTTTGGATTTCTTGTGCTTCTTCTTCTTCTTCTTCTTCTTCTTTTTGACAATAGAATCTGAGTCTTCTTCCTGAGGAGCAATGTCTTCGAGCTTTCTCTTGGGGTTGGGGCTGGGATGGGCTTCTTCTTCGTCTTTGTTTTTCTGCTTCTTCTTCTTCTTCTTCCTCTCGGCTTTGGCTTCGTGGAGAGGTTGGGCCTGTTGCAGTTCTGCCTCGCCGATGGCGGCGGAGGATTCTTTGAGTTTGCGACCCATTGTAGAAGCTCAACTCGGGTGATAACGGCGGAGGAAAAACCAGCAGAGGCCGACGACGGGGTTTATTCTAGGTAGGGTTTTGACGTTTGACCATTTTATAATGTAGTACTGTCCACTTGCACGAAATTGATGACGTGACGAGGGTGGTTTTATCATTTTACCTATGTAGCTAACTAACCACCAATAGGAACATGCCACGTGCATTATGCGTTAAAAGGATGTTATTCCCACACTAATTATCCACCAACCGTATGTTAACCACCAATAGGCACCTACAATATGCATAAAAGAATGTTATTTACGCACTTATTTTTACTTTTCACACGCTCTAATGAATTTTGGCAATTGATATTTGTTAATTCATTTGATTGAAATTTGAAAAAAATATGTGACAAGAAAAATAGGTGTGTAAATAATACTGGCCGCTGGCATAAGATGGCCCACAACTTGCCCTTACTTTGTTGGCCCGCTGAAGGTGGCTTTTTGGGTTGGAGGAGTTTTGGGCGGGCTTCAACATTACCAAGCGGTGGAAAATGCGAAGGAGAGAAAGAAATCGAATGAAAAAAGCTGATAGATAGCATAAAACTAGTGACCGCCGACCGTTGGATCAAATCCAACGGATCAAAAGGCGTCGGCACTGTATATTACCATCCAACTTCCGTTCCAAATTTGCAATTGTTATCCCGCGTACGCGTCTCTCTCAGAATAAAGTGGGAGTTGAGTAGTGTCACTCGCACAACAGAGTCTCTCTCTCTCTCTCTCTCTCTCTCTCTCTCTCTCTCTCTCTCCCCCCCGAGCGTGCACTACGTCTTCTGCAAGATTTGGGGATCTAGCTATGAATCGCCACCACGACCCCAACCCGTTTGACGAAGAAGTGGTCGAGGTCGAGGTCAATCCCTTTTCGGTAATTTTGCCTCTTCCCTTTTCTCTTTCTCCAATTTTAACCCTTTTCTTCTTCTTCCTTGCGCTTAGATCTACCTTCCATTTTACTTCGTGATCTCAATTCCTGGATAATTTCGTGAATTCGGTTATTCGATCTGGATCTGAAAAGTGAAATTTGAATACCTTGTTTTTTCCTTCTTTTTTGGTAGGGAAGAAAATGAAGAAATGTTATTTTGAATTTTGAATAAAAATTTGAAATTTGAAATTTTTTGCCTCATTCACTTCAAATTCAGTAGTGCCAAAAAAAAAAAAATGGATTTGGGCAACATTTATTTAACTTGTTCTTTAAAATGAAAGCAAAAAAGAACAAGTCCAGTCAATTTAGATGAGGCTTTGTTGTTGTTGTAGAAATGTTTCCATCCCCGGTTTAAGCAATGGCATCCTTTTACATTTTGTTGCCCCTCCCATTCTTTAATAGTGATATTTATTCCTTTTGCATCTTTTCGATAATACATTTACTTAATAGTCTGCATATTCTTATGATTTACTGCCTACCTCCCTGCCTTGAAGGGCACATGACTATGTTGCATGGATACGGGATATATATTCGATGTGTTCATATTTCATTGTTTAAGTTAAATCACAAAAGAGTGAAACATTCATGTTTATCTTTTAACAGTAACAAAATAGAACACTGCTTAGTCTTTGTGATTCTTGAGATTGGGAGTCTTTGTGATTCTTGAGATTGGTCCTCCCCTCTCCCAGGACCGGAATGATTTTCCTTGCCCGATGGGGCTACATCCATCTCTTAATGACCTGGTGAGTCTACCAAACCCACACTGTTCTAAAATGCGGCCTAGGCGTTAGACGGTGAGTTGCCGTCGCTACTAGTCCCTAATTGGTCGGAAAATCGGAAAGCTTTTTAGGTGGCTTCTTCGACGGAGCTAGGCAGGGCTAGGCGAGGATCTGTGGAGAGCTATACTGGAATCTGGAATTTTTTAGATGCAGACTGATCGGCTCATTCCAAGAAGAAGATGGCTTGTATGCAGAGTGTCGTTTTGGCAAATTTGTCCGTTGCTGTTTGAGTTTTTTATTCAATCTTTTTGTTCTAAGTGCCCACTATCTAGTTTCTTTTTTTTTAATTATTCACTTTTCATTTTTATTATTATTTTGTCTCTTTTAAGACCCCACTGTCTCACCAATAATATCTATATTTTTCTCATTTTGTTTTGATGATGTCTATACTACATATCAATACCACACTTTTTGTCAACTAAAAACTAAGAAAAATACAAGTAGAGTTTTTTTAAGTGTTACTTATTTACATCATATAATACATTTACTTAAATCCGCCTAGTCCGCCTAGGTGCTAGGCTCCAGCCCGTCTCCGGACTAGCGCCTAGTGTCTTTTAGAACCTTGCAAACCCATGAAATTTAGAAACTACAACCCAAATTCCTAACTTAATTCAAAGATCAGTATCTTAGGAGTATCTTAACCATGTCCTAGGAGTATCTTGACCGTTTCCTTGGAGTATCCGTTAGTCAACATCACAAAAAAAAATCATGGATTGATTTTGATTATATGTATAGAATTCAACTTCTTGTGTTTTTTGTCATGTCATTGGATTTTGAACCTCAAGTAAAATTGTAAGAAACCATTACTCTAGATTATTTCAGTGATGCAATATGACATATTAATGATGAATTAGAGATGTTGGTTCTTAAAAGTTGAGTGGAATGATGAGGGTTACAAATGCTGTGCTGTGTGCTTCTTTCACATCTTTATGAAGTCCTAGTTCTTTGTACTTAGGCAATATGTATTTTAGATATTATAGGTCCCACGCCATGTCTTGTGCATATGCTATTTGATTTTCAGGCATTTTAGAAGTCACATGTTGGCACACCATGCATACTCCATTTATGATATGATACAAAAATCACTTTTGGATTATAATCCATACAGCTGCATGGTTTGGACATGTTTATTAAGACTGGTGTGAAGCTTAGTTTTACATATATTTTCCCTATCATCCTCGTGTAAATGTGTTAAAATGTGCCATAATTTGGGAATTTTGCAGAATGGTGCTGCTGCTCCTAAGTCAAAGTCACGAGTTCCACCAGTGTCATCTGACCATCTGGGTTTTGGGCAGAAACACGATGCCACAGTCGATATTCCGTTGGATACAATGAATGTAAAGTAGTTTTATGTCGTATACATTTTTTTCCCACTCTATGAGATTATTTATGTATTGTTTGGCCATTTTCTGCAGGATTCTAAGCAAAAGGCAAAAGAGCTTGCAACTTGGGAAGCAGATCTCAAGAAGAGAGAAAAGGTTAACTGACAAGTTTTTTTATTGATTACTTGTCAGTTCTACCTTTATTGTATAAATCACTTTATATTATTTTGAAGTGGAGTTTACAAATGGATAAATTGATCACAATATGGAATATGTTGCCAGTAATAAACCATTGAAGGCACAGTGGGAGTGGCTGAGGCACATGGGTTTGTCCCATGGTGCCTTAGGTTTGAAACCCCAATGTACCTTTCTAGCAATTGCTAGTGTTTCCTGTCCCCAATAATTCTAGGGTTCGGTGGTGGGCCCCAGTTTAGATGCGTTATTTGTTAGTATATCTCATTTTTTATTTTTCTTTTTCTTGGTTACAATCACTCATTTGTGCTGTACTGCTTAATGCGTTCCTGTATTTTTTTTCAATACAGTTTTTGTATTAATATTTAGCTTTAACAGGATATTAAACGTAGAGAAGATTCTGTTGCAAAAGGTAAGCACTATGAATCTGCAACCTATATTATTAGTAATTTGGGTGCCCTTTCTTAAATCATAGTAATTAATTTTTTTTCTTCTTTGTGTATCAGCTGGTGCCCCTGTTGATGATAGAAATTGGCCTCCTTTTTTTCCAATTATTCACCATGATATAGCTAATGAAATACCAATACATGCTCAAAAGCTACAGTATCTGGCTTTTGCAAGTTGGCTAGGTAAGGCATGTTTATTATGCCAATGTGGTGCTATGTATTTTGCTTTGCTTGTATTTTTATCCATGTGTTGAGGATTCCATTACAAAAGAGTCGATTTCAAATAGTCTGCCTTATAAGTTATAAATTGGATTTACATAAAATTATATGCTTATGGAACATTTTCTCTAACAATCAGTAGTAGTAAGTTATTTCATTGCTGGGATTTAAGGACTGTAGGTACTTATATTCGATTGGACTGTGTTAGTACTTAGTATTCCTCTTAGAATTGTTTACTTAAATATAGATAGTTCCAAGGAGAGGATTGGGAGTTAAAATTGTTTACTTAAATATGGATATTTGAATAAGGTTAGTGTCTTTCAGTTGTTTCTGATTACAGACATATATAATGGATGTTTTTAAAGAGGATGGCCGCGAATTTTGAAAAGTTTGGAGTTTGGACATCCTTGTTGGGGTCATCTGGAAATGTAGTTCAATGATCCAAACGTCCATTTCTTTAGGTCCTTATTTAAATATTGACCGTACATAATGTTAGCCAAATTGAAATTGGCCAACTTTTTGGTCCCTCCTCAAGAATTATTCCTTCAAAAGTAAGCTTCCAGATAGGGAACTGTCTGGTCGTATAAATTATGTACACAACCATAGTTGGTCCAATAAAATGAAAACATTGGTAATCAAATGGCGCAATGAGATTTGGTTTGGCTGATCTTACTTTTTTGCGTGGATGGTCCTTTGAAGAAATGATTCTGATCAGTCTAAGAGATAGTCTAGTATGTCCTCATTTTTTATTTCTAATTAGGGAGATACTCACTTGTAGCTCCTCGTAGGCTCGTGCACAAAAAATACATGTATATGTATAATGTAGATAATACAGAGGAAATGCTCTCTTGACAGACTCTCAATATGGACAACTGGTCACTTGAATTTTAATTCTAATATGTGATGCTAGATTAAGAGTCTGGCAGAATATGTGGGTGGACTCCTTGTGTCATTATTCTTCTTATCATCACATATATTTCCTTATTAGACGTAAGTGGATTCATTTTTTTATGTTATTTTTCCTTTACATGCCTGTCTAACACTGAAGTAATATTGTCATTGCAGGCATAGTTCTTTGCCTATTTTTCAATGTGATTGCGATTATCGTCTGTTGGATTAGAGGCGGAGGTTAGTTTTCCTTGATGATATTTGGTTATTACTTGATTGTAATGAATTTAGCTCCTTGGCTATCACGGTAATTGGATCTTCTGATGAGTTTCATGAACTGCAGGTGTTAAAATATTTTTGCTTGCGACGATCTATGCTCTAATGGGATGCCCTCTTTCATATGTTCTTTGGTACAGGCCTCTCTATCGTGCTATGAGGTAAATGTTTTAAGATGGCTTTGTTTCTAGTTTCCACGTAAATAAAAGATTTGTAGTTCCTCTGGAGATTACAGAGAAGCTGCAATGTTAGCATAAATTTTTTGGCACTTTAGAGAAAATAGCTTGACTGTAATATCACGGATCTTAGGTTAAGACAAGAAAATACTTTGACATTTTTGGGAACCAAATATGAAAGAGTAGGCATTTGTATTTATCCTAAAATTATCCTCATCCGATTAATGGAAGAGACCCTTGGCATATGATAGACCCATGTTTAAATTATGCCCTGTTTATGTTATGAACGAATCAAATTTACACTATGGACTCTAACTGGCACTATAACTCTCTCGCAACTCGTTTCTACCAGAAATTATGGTGCATAATATTTATTTGTCCTTGCTTTTAGTATTTCATGGGCACACCTACGGGGGGACTTGGTAAATCAAAGTTTGATTTAGGAAAATAGTAAGAGAAAGGAATATAATAGAGTCAGACTCACTCCAAAAAAGGTCAATTGGAATAACTCCGATAGAAATTCAGAAGATTCCAGCATCATACCAGCCTTCAGTATCACACTACCTTGGAAACAGTGCTGCTTAGTCACCAGGGTGGGATTGTTATGTGATGCATCTAACATGGTGGTTGTGGTTGAATGTGGAAACCAATTTTTCCTGGAAATCAAGAGTTGTTTGGAATTGAATCCCTTCGCCGGGGGAGGGGGGGGGGTGGTAATTATGTGCAGCTAGCATGATTTAACTTTTTAATTTTGTATGTAGCCTTTCTGACAAGGTTCTTTTGCTCAAAGATGACACCTCGTCAGTTTTTCAGCCACTTTACAGTAACAAATTTCATTTATTCTTTGGAACTTCTAAAAAATTTACTGTTGCTGTGACCCTTTTCCATTTATAGTTGATAAAGAAGTTTATGATCTATGGGACCCTTCACATTTGTTGTACAAATGGGTAGAGAATCAGTTGTATGATGTCAATGTTATCAATATGGATGGAAATAGAATGTGCAATTGTTTTCCTTTGTTAAATTGAAATCGGTAATATCATGCACTTCTGCTGACTCTGTTGAGGTGTATTTTTTCCAACTTGCAGGACTGATAGTGCCCTGAAGTTTGGTTGGTTTTTCTTGTTCTACATGGTATGTACTGATACCGTATATGTTTGATTTATTATGCTTGACTTATCAATCTGATTTTAATCAATTTGCTTGTGGCAGCTCCACATTGGGTTTTGTATTTTTGCGGCGATAGCTCCTCCAATTGTCTTTAATGGGAAATCATTGACGTAAGCTCTTCCCTTCTTTTTTGTTTTTTGTTTCTTGCATTTAATATTATTTACTTGTGGCGATAGCTCCTCCAATTGTCTTTAATAAGTGTTTTGATGCTGTGTAACTGATCCAATATATTTTCCTTCTTTTATGTCTTTATTTTTGCTTCTTATATACAGGGGCATTCTTTCGGCAATTGATGTTTTCTCTGACCATGTGGTGGTAGGGGTAAGTTTTTAACGTACCTGCATCTATAGACACTGCTGCTAGAATGTTGTCTGAAGTGTAATGTTTGTTTTATTTCTCATCCCCATCATCTCAGTGTCTTCGATTTTAATGTAACCTCTAAAGTTGAAGAAGAGAATAGATTCGTAGTTGAGATTTTTGTTCATGATTCAAAATATCAAACAGTTACAAAGAATTTGGACTACTTCATTTAACTGATAAAAGGAAGAAAAATCATGGTCTAGACTCTAAACTATGACGTAGGCCACAGCAACAAAAAACTATGGGGTAGGCCGGGAAGAAATACAAAGTCGTGCTGGTTTTCTGCCAAAACTGAAAACTCAGACTTGTGTGCACTTTTGACTTCCGAATTAATGTTTTCTTTTCCTAAGCATTCTTAACAAATGAACCAGTAACCACCTTCACAATGATCTAAAGTGGGAGAACCCTCTCTTCACCAAGATTCCATTTTCAGGTTCTCAATGCTATGCATTTATTGAGAATATCAGATTATTGCCGAACTTTTGTTTGCTCTGGTTGGCTGGTCAAGTTGTGAATTTGTGCTATGCATTGAGAATATACTGGAACAAATTTTGGTAAAAGAATATCTGCTTTTTAAATTTGGCCAATAATACATCCCTTATGCTTCTTACTTGAGCATTGAAAGGTTCTCTCAACACAGAACAGTGAAGGATACACTTTATGCTACACACACACACACACACGCATATATCCACTTTATGGTTCTTGATCGGTGGTGGTTCCTTAATGTGCATCGGTTGCCCAGTGGTTTTTTTCTTGGTTGCTGGCACACTTTACTCAGTTAGATTTTAGGTTCTAATGAGATGTTATGTACCCTAAATATCAATCCTGTCGGGGAAATGGATCGAAACTATTAATAAAATTCATGAAGACTTGCTTCCCAGTTCATAGCCATATCGCCCAGATTTGCAAATAAGAACAGAAAGGGTAATATCTAGCATCATGACATGGATTTCAGATAACCAAGGGATCTTAGTTGTCGGTTGGATTGTTTGGTGCAAATCTCAATGACTAATATTATTTCTTTTGTTGTATCCTGTGCAGATATTCTACTTAACTGGGTTTGCCTTGTTTTGCTTGGAGTCTCTTCTAAGCTTATGGGTACTTCAGGTGAGAGAGAGAGTTCCCTTGTTTCCTATGTACATTTTAAAAATTAATAGTCTTTCGTTAGAAGTATAGAAAATGCTTCTGGTGGTTTACAAAGGCATGGATTTACCTGAATAATATCTAGTTATGGATTTATGGAGGTCTCGATTGTTGTGACTGCTTCTAGATCACCGTGAGCCCACCAATTTGCTTCAGATGTATTCTGTTTTTGTTTTTCCTCTTATAGATGAAACTTAATCTTTACCGTTAACAGCAACGAGTATGTTTGTTTCTGTATTCTCACTTTCACCAAATATATCCATTTAGGTATGTTTACAAAAGCTGGGACAACTATATCTGGAATATGTTTATTCACTTTCATCTGTGGTCTCTTAAAAGATTTGAACTTCGTTACCAGTCCGAATGCCTCTTTTTTGTGTTCTAGTCAGATTGTGAGAGTAAATTATATTATTTAGGGTCTCATAGTCAGATTGAAGTCATTGTTAACCTGTTATTTATCGTTACTAATGATCTGATCGTGTTTCCCTGTTGTGTTTGTGCAGAAAGTATACATGTATTTCAGGGGGAACAAGTGAGATTTGATGGTGGGATTCAGAGTTGCATTGCCTTTCTAGAGTGGTTTTAGTATATTCTTGTGCGGCGTATTTTGTTTGCCATTTCGTTGCGATATGAGTTAGTAAAGAACGATGAGTAAGCTATATATGTAGTGTTGTACCCAGACTCTAAACTACGTTGCGTTATAATATTACTGTTTTATGTGTTGCATTTTCATATTCAACAACCTGCAACGAACCAGATTAGTTGTGAATTGTTTGCTCAAAACCAATAGACATAGATGCATAGATGAACAAAAACTAGTTTTAATCATTCCATTTTCGAGAGCAACAGTACAATATCGTATTGGGTGGGCTATTCACACATCTCTTTTAACTTTTCACACTTGTTAACTTATGTCATTTGATATTGTTCAATTTATCTGACCCAACGGTTGAAAATTAGAAGGGTGTGAGAAGTAGAAAAAAAGCATACCCCAAGCGACTGGAAATCTAATACACCAACTATCGTAGGACTAAAGAAAGTACACTTGCAAGAACTGTACCGTTCTTCTGAGTGCGCCAATGGTGTGGAGCTCCATGCGCTTAATATCATCTATGAAGTGATAAAGCGGCCACAATTTCACCGTACAAAACGTGTATCCCGCAACAAACCAAGAGTCACCTTCCAAAATCCTCCGAGTTAGAACCTCCTCAAGGTCCAGAGTGTCCTCAAAGCAGACAGAAAGGATTGAAGTGCGTCTCTGCCATAGATCCGGCAGAAGCCAGACAAGGGTGGGAACTTTTCAAGCAAACAAAGCCCGAGACAAGGGTCGCAGAAAGAAAGAGATGGGCTCTCGACATTTTCTACGTAATTAATTCCCAATTCATCAGTTTATGCATGCATGCCACGTAATTTGTCATGCCTGACTTCCATGACGAATCTAAACGACGTTGGTGGAGAAATTTTTTATTGTAACCGGAATATGGATGATACACTACGTGTTATATAATTGGTGAAAGATCTATTGTTGGTCTGTACGTTTCTAGTTTCATGTACGTTGCGCCTTCGTCATTCGCGCGAAGCAGATTTTTTGCAAGATTAGTTTTAAATACTTTATAGAAGAATACTTTTTGGTCGAAACTTGAAAGAATAATATAAACAGACAAATTAAGAGCGCAGGGAGAGAGAGCGGGGAAAAATCAGAAGTGGATGGCACATGGTACGTACTCTTATCTATCTCCAGAGATATCCTCTTTCCATTCCTCACCCTTCACCCCTAATCTTTAACCTGCCACCACTGCGTTGCCACGTGGCACATCAAATATCCAAACCACAACAAATAACCACCAAGCTTCTTCTTCTTCCTCTCCTCTCCCCCCATGCCTGCGTTTATCACCTACCCATATGACATCACCTCATACAAAAATAACAAGTATATAAAAATAAAAAATAAAAAATAAAAAATAAGAAACCCCAAAAAAAACAACATGACACGTCAACAGCAGCGGTCTTAGCCGACATTTTCTTTTCTTTTCCAACCCAAAAAAACTTCCTCCCATCAACCTCTTCCAGCCTCTTATTTTGTGTCCCAAACTTTTTAGTTTGTTATTAGCATCCAAAGAAAAAAAAAAGGAAGAAAGAATAATATGTGTAGCCTTTCTTTCCCAAATCAAACCAAGTAAGCAAGAACACAGAGAGCTAGAGAGAGAGAAAGTAGTAGTAGTAGTAGTAGTGGGAAAATGGCGATTTGTGCAGTGCACACAAGTGGCCAGCTGAACCCGACGTGTTCATTTTCCTCGTCCTTGGGATTCAACGGCCAAAAGCAGCAGCAGGTGGCGGTGTTTTACAAGCAGAGAAGCAGCAGCAGCAGGAGAGTTGGAGTGAGTGTGATAAGATGCGAGCAAGAGACGATTGTTATCGGTTTAGCAGCAGACTCAGGGTGTGGGAAGAGCACATTCATGAGGAGGCTGACGAGCGTGTTTGGAGGAGCAGCGGAGCCGCCTAAAGGTGGAAACCCTGATTCCAACACGCTCATCAGCGACACCACGACGGTGATATGCTTGGATGATTACCATTCCCTGGACAGGACAGGGAGGAAGGAGAAAGGAGTGACGGCGCTGGACCCAAGAGCAAACGACTTCGATCTTATGTATGAACAGGTGAAGGCCATCAAGGAAGGCAAGGCTGTTGAGAAACCTATTTACAACCATGTTTCTGGTCTCTTGGATCCTCCTGAGCTCATCAAGCCCCCCAAGATTCTTGTCATTGAAGGTTTACACCCAATGTAAGTGCTTGTCTAATTGACTAGTTACTCATCATAATCACTTTGATTACACTAACTACTATTTTATTATTTTCACACTCTCTTTCATTTTTCACTAAACATTCATGAAATCCTGGAGTTGTTCTTATTTTGGATCTTCTTTCTAATTTATTTCAACTTTATTTTTTTTGTTTTTTTTGTTTTTGTTTAAACAGACGGTACTTTACATTAAATTCATGAAAAATAATTTCACACAACCACTTCTCTTATTATTTTTTGAATGAGAGCATCCACGTAATTTATATCGAGAGGAAAACAAACCTTCTTTTAATTTTTGTATTAGTAGTTACTTCTATATGTATGTCTGTAATATTGTTAAAATGTCTTCTAAGGACGACTAGAAGTTTTTGCAAGACCATGAATTTGTACCACAAAATTTATACAAACACATTATCCTGATCAATAGTATCAAGTTAGTATTTTGACAAGAAAATAGTTTCCTTTATATATTAAGTTAAACCTCAAAATAGACGGGAGGGAAGTTAAAGAACTTTCCTTTTCAAATAAATAAATAAATGTTGGAGTAGTTCATAATTTTATAAATGATTACAATACTTACATGTATTTAAAATAATATTAAATAAGTATTGTAGCTAAATTCCACAAAATTTCAGATATACTCACTGACATAAATAAATAAATAAATAAATGTTTTACTAAAATGACTTCCTTATTTTTGAATGGTTAAAAGAATTTAACTAACATCAGTAAAATGAAAAGAAATAAATAAAAAATTGATGTCGTCAGCCAAACAATAAAACAAAAACGTAAAAAAAGGAGACTAAGATGACTTCCTTATACTCACTTACTATTGTCGAAATTTGAATTTAAAATCTCTTATTTACAAGTAAAGACTATAATGTAGTATTAAGTGACTATTTTACTAGGAGTAGGATTCTCTCCCCTATTTTTTCCCCTCCCCATCCCTCTCCTTCTATTTGAACGATCACGGTTAAGCCACGTCAAAATCTTATATTAATTTTATATAGAAAGAGAAAGACAAAATAGAGAATGTGAAAGGAGGGGAGGGAAGGGGATGGAAAGAGGATGAGAGAGAATCCTAGTCCATTTTACTAATACTGTAATTACTCAGTGATAAATTAATTAATTCCATCAACATCAAACAATGCACAATCGAACCAATCACATGTGTCGCGTAAATTTTCGTCCTGCAAATAGTTTTTTTTTTTTTTAGAAGCGCAACTCATTACAAGCTTGTTGGAGAGCAGATTTAAAACTTGGAAAGAGAAATATCACTATACAACGTACTTACCTCATAGTTAATTAAGCATAAACATATATATTAATCCATCAATATATATGTGTAGGTATGATCAGCGAGTTAGGGACTTATTGGACTTCAGTATCTACTTGGACATCAGCAATGAGGTTAAGTTTGCATGGAAAATTCAGGTAATTAAATTAACCTCGCATAATTAAACTTAATTTCGATAAATTTACCAAGGTAATTAAGCTAAAACTTGGATTGTTCAGAGAGATATGGCGGAGCGTGGGCACAGTCTTGAGAGCATCAAAGCCAGTATTGAAGCCCGAAAGCCTGACTTCGATGCTTATATTGGTACGTAGCCACCCCCACCTAAGCATGATTTATTTATGAAAATGTATCTTGTTCGCACTCTTAGTTTGTCATTCTGCACTCTCATAATTATTAACTGTTTGTCAATTGTATGCAGATCCCCAAAAGCAGTATGCAGATGCAGTTATAGAAGTGTTGCCAACCCAATTGATTCCAGGAGACAATGAGGGGAAGGTGTTGAGAGTGAGGTTGATAATGAAGGAAGGTGTGAAATATTTCAACCCAGTCTACTTGTTTGATGAGGGCTCCACCATCTCATGGATTCCCTGTGGAAGGAAACTCACCTGCTCTTACCCTGGAATCAAATTCAACTACGGCCCCGACACTTACTTTGGCAACGAGGTATGAATTTAATACTCATCGCCAAATCTGTTCACCAAATGATGTGTCACTACGCATCTCACGATGGTGCTATACAAAAGCGTTTTTAACTGATTATTTGGTTTTTTGTTATGCATGGTTATGTATAATAGGTGTCGGTGTTGGAGATGGACGGGCAATTTGACAGATTAGATGAGCTGATCTATGTAGAGAGCCATCTAAGCAACATCTCCACCAAATTCTATGGAGAAGTCACCCAGCAAATGTTGAAGCATTCTGATTTCCCAGGGAGCAACAACGGAACCGGTCTCTTCCAAACCATCGTCGGATTGAAGATACGCGACCTCTACGAGCAGCTCATTGCAGCCAGGGCCAAAACTCCAGCAGAAGCAAAAGCTTAGAAATATTTCATCAAATCTCTTTGCTTAATTATATTGTTATGCCTCTATTAATATTTCTACCTACTTAATTATTTAAGAGAATGTACGCATGCCTTTTTTCCACTCTTTCTTTCTTTACGTTGTAATTCTGTGGAAGAGTATTTGTATGATAGAGAAACAAATTTAATAAAATTAATATAAAAAAAAAAGATTGAAAAAATTCAGCTATGGGGTTCACCTCTATATCTTATCTCTTCAATATTTCAGTTTCCCAATACTTGATTGCATCACTCATATAACCAAGCAACCAACCAACCCTATGAATATGTGGCCCCCTTTCTTGTCCTTTATTACATATTTGCTTCTTCTTTCATAGGGACTAGGGAATGAGCTTAGCATAACACTCTCATCTTCCATTTAACCATCCTCAGTCTCACATTGGCATAATAATTGGGGCCCCCATAAAATTGGGGCTATGTGTGGTGGCACCGGTTGCACCACTCCAAGGTCGGATCCGTCCAGAAGCTTCTAATCTTATTAAACTAATAGAAAAATCTACAATACTACGTTGTATTCAATGCAACCTGAAATGAATGAGTGAGATTCAAAGAAACA